GTTTTGCCAAGAACTGATACTAACCGCCAAGGGGCCGATCGTATCAAGTATCATAATTATAGGATCGATCAACAAGCTTTCTATGATCAGTTGTAGCTGTCATAGCAGTTGTAGGTGATTGACTAATAGTTTAGTAGATTTATGGATGGTCAGTAGGTGCTCTTCAGATTCAGAATCGATTTAGTAGGTCATCAATTTTCATATTGTATTTGTTGATTTAACTTAGCTCCTTTCTTGTGTACTTGACTACATAATTAAATTTTATTTATGGTATCAATCGGTTCCCAGTAAGTTTTGTTATGAAGCGATCATTTTAGTTATGCGGTAAATCTATTTTTTCATAACTAGTATATCAGATAACTGTGAACCATTCAGTGTAGAGTCTAATTGACAGAACATGCGGCTTTTCAACATAATGAATGCTAAATAGAAAATTCCGATATTTACGTATCAACATTGCAAGATAAATAAGAATACAGTCAACTTTATGAAGAATGGTAATTTCCAAGAAATGTGAAGTTAGATAGCAAATTGAACCTTTTGGTGAAAAAACTAAATGTGGTTTATTTACAAATGAAATATAGATAAGTAGAAGAGGATTCATAAATATTGTAACAGTCTAATTTGGCATCAGTACCTATCTATCCGTATGGTCCCTATTGTGTGCGGTAACAATTGGTTGTATTTCGTGGAACTTTGTCCTGGGAATACCAAATAAATAAGGATTGTGCCAATATTGCTTCTTCACGTTATTTTCTATGTATTTCTCATTATGCTTAATTTGTTTCTTGGAAGAAACCCTATTATTGTGGTTTCAACTGAGTGTCTGTGTTTTTTCATTTTTAGATGTTTTGTTATTGTAATGTTATTAGACATTAATATTACATTTTTGTTTAATACATTTCATTGTATTTTGAATACTGTACCTACATGATTGTCTATTAGAATCATTTTAGATTTTATAGCGTTTATGTAGAAAGAAATATTGTAGATAGGAATCTTTCCCATCATAACAGATTTACGCAACAAAATATCTTAAAAAATTCCACAGTCCAACACAAAAAACGTTAATTCTTCCCAAACTTCAGATACCAGGAACTTTATGGTAATTCATCCTCCATTCATAGCATTCGGCTTCGTTCATCCCATTCATGCCGGGTGCGATACGGTCTGTGACGTCACAGCTGTGACGTCAGAGCGTGGGTGCCACCTACGCAGACTGCAGAGCAACCACTTTATATGCGATGCGGCAAGTTGAACTTTAAGTTTTAAAGTTTAGAGTACATAGTTGAGAGTGCTTGGGAGAAGTCACAGTAATAAGTCTGGAAACTAGAAGTACTAAAATCCACCCGAGTAAGTAGTTGGTACTGGGTTACAAAATATCTGAGTGTTCATAAATGAGATAATTTTTATGAGACTTCAGGTTGGGTATTTTGTACATTTAGAACTTTATGAAACACTCACTACCAGTTTAACTCGAAATATGCTGAAAATAATAAACTTTGGTTTTTCATGATACACAAGTAGGTATCCTATAAATAGATGTCTCGGAGAACCTAACGAGTTACCGGAGCTCCGGCTCGACGTGCAGGAGAAGGAAAGGGGTGGTTTTTAGTCAGTAAGAGTCTGACACTCCCTCCCGCCTCACCTAGGCGAGAGCAGTCATTCGATGACATTTCCCCCTTAAAAAATCCTATAAATAGATTCAAGTACCTACAAGCTCTTACACATCCATTTAACATTTCAGATCATAAATTAAACATGCCTACTCACGTCAGCGTAGCTTTCAATTACCCTCGTTTAACATGTTAACCCTCCAGGGAAATTCTACATTCAGCGTACATACATAAGTCTAAACGACCCCCAGTACATATTCCAACAAGTTTAACCCTGTCCGCGCGACCTTGGCACTCTGGCACACTGCAGCACGTAATTGTTGCAAATGTCGCAATTTTGTACCATTCTGTATATCACCCCACCTCCTGCACATTGTCGCAGTGAAGGTCAATACTTGATGAAATGGTGTGAATAGAGAGAATTGTGACATTTGGTAGTAAATAGTAATTAGGAGCTTCAAATATTGATTAAAGCTTACATTGTAGGCTCTATTTTAATGAATTCAACAATTGAATATTTGATGATCACAATTCGACCACGTATGTAAAGCATAATGCCCGATTGGGAGCTGCGCATAACATAACGGGTGGCCGGGGCTTCGGCTCCAAGCAGGAGGAGGAACGGGGTGGTTTTTAGTCAGTAAGAGCCTAACATTCCCTCTCGCCTCACCCAAGACGGGTTAAGTCAATGGACGATTTTCCCCCGTACAAAAAAAAAATGTGAACAGCTGTGTAAGTTGAGCTCAAAATAAGTGAAAACTAATATTTTAAGGTATGTTATTTTACAAGGATTAGTCCAGAGAAAATATTGCCTTTATGAAGACGAAAGTATTATTTTTGCAGTCAGACTTGGACGTAGTTTAAATAATACGAATAGATTAAACTTAGATATAGCACAAATAAGTTACAACTAGACTAATAAACCATGAGGTCACATAGCCACAGACAACATATATTTAATTATTCCAAAGGACGTTGTCAAGGTGCTTAAGCCTGAAATACAGCACATTTCGTTCTGTGTCTAGGCTAGTGTCTAGATATATTGGGCAGTCTATCTTTTTGCAGAAAAAACTCAGGACGCTGAACAATTTGTAGACCTAACCAAATTGATTGGATCTATTTTGCGATACGTATTTGATTGGAAATGTGAATTAGTTTGAGAGAAATGTGTGTTTCTATATAGGTGAAGATAGTAAGTAGTTTTATTTATAGATCATTCGTGTATTTAACGTTAACAGAGAGGTGGACTAGGCCCCTATTTTAAAGATTCAAAAGATTATCTTCAAGTATTGACATAATCTATGTTATACAGGTGTCCATTTATTTTGGTGCCAAAAATATAGGGCTTAATTGACAGACTGAAATTGTAACAATTTTATTAGACACATTTTAAAATCATGAAGTTCCAATTACATATCAATTAGTGATCACGTCATTGACGACTTGATGACATTGCTCTGGTGTTTTTGGGGAATTACATGGATAAGATTTTCTCGGAACTGATTTTAAACGTATGACGTTTGATGAAACGAAATCAATGCTGACATCCTGTGTTATCACTGCAACTGAATCCGTACTGTGAATGATTTTTAATGTAGTTATCATTCAATTAAAACATATAGTTATGGATAATGGCGTTACTGATTACAACACATGATTATAGTATTGTATCAGAACAGGACGGGACAGGGCAGGTGGAAAAATATTTACGCCACTGCTCTTACCTATTTCTTTAGTAGGTGACCTTTTACTTAAAATTAGGTATCTTTTCTCTAACTAGAACACTTTTGTCAAACTGTCAGTTCACAAGAGATAAAACGCGTAAAATGACACCTAGTCCTTTTAAAATTGTCTGAAATTTTCGCTATTCAAAGTAGTCTTAGAGTGAAGTAGGGAGCTTACCTCGGCTCCCATTTAATTCACCTGTTTCTCAGTCTTTGTCCATCAACTGTTGGATCTAAAGGGAAATACTTGGGGAGACTTAGAATACAATGAGTGCCACATTGGCTTGGAATGGCTTTAAAATAAACCTTTGTACCCAGCGCTTTGTTTTGAGGCTTTTGTGGAGTGTTCATTATATTGATACAGGCTTACACGTGTATGGATGCCCGTATAATTATAATGCTTTTCCAATGAAATAAAGTTGATAATGCAAAAGCAAATATCACACTGAAATGAATAGGTAGATACTTATTAACAGTTGTGTTGTCATTGAGATTTTGTTAAAAATCGATCTGTAGATATTTATACCGGTGACTGCAGTGCTGATCTAGGCTAAAATTGGACAAAGACGATACTTGCATTTTGTTAAAAGTATTATGCTCACGTGGTCTTGCCGAAGTTAGACCCCTGATTGCCCGAGGGGAACATTTTTCAGATTTTGACATCTTACTGTTATGTTATTTCAATATGTTAACACAGTAGTTACGTAAGGTATGAAATAAACGTTTATGAAAAATATTGTATTGGACATTGAGATTTAGGTTGGTATTGGCAAAATAAATCGATTTTTATTGGCATGGGTACCACCGTTATTTAATGCAAAAATATGATTAGATCATGAACGGCTCAAAATGTCGCCTATTTATAGAATTCGTTAAAAAAACTTTTATAATTTACTGAAGTTGTATTATAAAGGTACCTCATGTACCTCAAAGGTCACGGTATAAAAGGTGAACATCATTGTTAAGCTAAATAATTCTATTTTCATTAAGTCTATCTGTCTGACCCGACGGAAAATAAGTAAATAATAAGTTCCCAAAATAACATATTTTGCTCAGCTGTCTATATTTCGTGTGAATTTTCATTAATTAATATGTAACACTATACTCCAGAGGTATTTATTTCTAGAAATAAAATACACGACACCCACACAGCGGTATTCATTTGAATTTTTACAGATTCATTGTTATTATTGTTTCCATGAATAGCATAGGTTAAAATTCATGGAACTTTTACAAGTTAATTGTAGAGTAGAATTCGTATACATTTACCAGTATTTACAGAATAAGAAGGTTGTTTTTTAATTAATTTAATTAGGTATTTGGTTTCTTGAAGTTGATAAAGGGCATCAAAAGATTCACATAGAACTTAAGTAAGAAGTAACATTTTCGTACAACTTACTGTTCGCAAACTTCCATCGAAAGGTTATAATAATTACAAATAATAATAAATTATATTTCATGAATGGTTATTCTGTGAAGGAGATGTAAATATCCACCCATGGTAATGTTCATCACGTAGTCATCACTCGCGCTTACTACGACTCAAAATAGTCTCACAAACCTTTCCTGTGAGCAAATTCTAGAATTTTCCATCAGATACCTATTACAAATTAGTCGAGTTGCTTTCTTCAAAGCCTTACCATAAATCTTTTACTTCCAGACCAATACACCCTGGACAGCGACTACATCAAGCGGTACCTGGGCGAGCTCAGCCCCATGCAGGAGTCCCGTCTGCTGCAGCTCCGCAAGTGGATCGCTGACCTGCAGAAAGGCAAGGTAAGCAGAACGAAGAATTAACTTAGGTTCAGATGTCTTGTTTTATCATTAAGACCTTTATGCACCTTTTTATTGAATGGAGCAAATAGTCAGTGCGGTATTTTTATGTGGCAAGACAGACACTTATGTAGCTGAAGTGTGGCGAAGGATACGCCTCCTACTGAATAAGATTAGATAATTACATTATTATTTTATAAGTTATGTGTACAAGAAGTACTTGCGGATAGCGCTCTATAGTTTATTATTTTATGCTTTCAATTAAGTACGTATTTTAATTTTAAAAAAATAAGTATTTTCACTGAAACATTTTCTTGTTCTTGTATTGTAGCTTACCCATTAAAACAAACCACGTAGCTACAAGAAGTCGAAACAAAAAGACAAAATGTAACTCGAACAACGTATGTAACATACTTCGAATGTATTAAAAACAAGTGTACAGCGCCGTGGAACTGGAATTTATAGTCAGCTTCGAAACAGTCGAGAGAATTTCGGGCATTCCACACGTAGCGTAGTGGAAGCGATAAATTGTAAACTCAAGCAATCTACCCCGAATGTGGAATAAATTGGGAGGAGGGGGGACATGTGACTAGCTGATGGTAGCTGTTTGTTCTTCTTACAGTGTGTAGCGTAATACATGACTTTTGAATTAGAAGGCAACGAACATTATGCCTGTTTTGAGATAAGATTAGATTAGAAATTCAGAAGTAGCGAGCTCGGTTAAAAGAGACGCTGCTGAGAATATCAAATTGACAAATCACATTTATTTTTCTGCTCACGTATAGAGAAAAACCAAAAATCTCACTACAGCTGGGAAAGAACTGAAGAGGTGCAATAGATCCGAGCAAGAGATCAAAATATCGTTCTGATAATAATCTTGAAGAATAACAGATTATTGTAACCAGTACCTATCTAAAAACGATATTATAAACGATTATTGAATATACATACATGCACTCCATTCTCTTCTATAAAACCGTTCTTCTATCCTTCACCAGGTGCCGAGCGACACCACATTGCTGCGCTTCCTGCGCGCCCGTGACTTCAATGTAGAGAAAGCAAGAGAGATGCTCTCGCAGTCGCTGCTGTGGCGCAAGAAGCACCAGGTCGACCGCATCCTCTCCGAGTACGAGACCCCTGACGTTGTGAAGCAGTACTTCCCTGGAGGCTGGCATCATCATGACAAGGGTAAGAGAACGATAAAGACAGTTTAATTCCAAATTGACTAAAAATCGCGGCTTCCTCACGTGAAAATGCTGAGAAAGCTCTACTAGTTTCGAACCACAGAGGGGTTCTTCCTCATGAGCAGCGTGTGCACATGCGTCGGTGCTGTTACTTGCGCTGCGAGTCCAAATGTTATTATAAAAACACAGTTTAATGCCAATTGGAAAATGTGAAATACTTTAGTACATTAGATACTAATCTAGTTCTCAAAAAAGCGGGTCAGGTTTTCAACTAACAATGATAGTAACTGATGATGATGACGACACAAAAAATAATTATTAATCAGTCAAGCTTACAATGTTTTGTAAGGTTTTCAGATCTCAGTTGTGAATTTTTTTTCTTCGGTAAGCTTTTGACGGTATTATTTGAAGTGTGGTTAATGTGGAATTATGTGTTTCAGACGGACGTCCGCTGTACATTCTGAGACTGGGTCAGATGGACGTGAAGGGACTGCTCAAGTCCATCGGAGAAGACGGCCTCTTGAAGCTGGTGAGATTCCTACTTAGGGTTTATTAATATTTACTGGACCAACCAAAACCAAGATGCAAAATTGCAATTTGACTTTGTCACGAAACCCAATTCTCAAAAGAAAGACTTGAAAAATGTTCTAAATTGTCATTTCCAGACACTTCACGTATGCGAGGAAGGTCTGAAGCTTCTGGAAGAGGCGACGAACTCGAGCTCGCACGCGGTGCAGTCGTGGTGCCTGCTGGTGGACCTGGACGGGCTCAACATGCGCCACCTGTGGCGGCCCGGCGTGCGCGCGCTGCTGCGCATCATCCAGATCGTGGAGGCCAACTACCCGGAGACCATGGGCCGCGTCCTCATCGTGCGCGCGCCCAGGGTCTTCCCGATACTGTGGACTATTGTCAGCACGTTTATTGGTGAGATACTTGCTTGCAATGTACCGTCGCTTGTCTTGTAATACCTACGTATATTTCGGAAATCATTATACGATTATATTATCATTATGATACATTTAATTCTAAACTAATTTATTATATGTAAGTAGGCATTTGCAATTGGTAATATAGCTTACAATGAGGCTATAAAGAGGTCAAACGTCTACCTATCAAATGGGAAAAAATAACATAATTTTCATTCTGTCTCACTCTTTGAAATCTTTCATGCTTGCAGCAATAGAAAACATAGCATTTGTGAAACAGGGTTAAATTTACAATCATACAGTTACCAGTCGTATGTATCTCAAAGAAAAAATACTAATAGTTTTAATTGTTCGTTGTAGATGAGAACACCCGCAGTAAGTTCTTGTTCTATGGCGGCAAGGACTACCTCCAACCAGGCGGCCTGCTCGACTACATACCCAAGGAGCTCATCCCTGACTTCCTGGGGGGACCCTGCAAGGTAAGCGATAACATCACATCACTAGCCATTTCCGATTAATACATTACTAATCGATGACGCACGGATTTGGTACAATGTCATTTTTCCAGGTACAATATTTTTGTAACGAATAAACACACCGTCAAAAGCATATAATATTCTAAATTCAAACTGGTTATGTAATCTTTTTGGACAAGAATTGCAATTAGTGATAGACTCTAACACCCAAATACTCCTGTACAGAGACTTACTAGTTGTATGTAGCATATTCTGGCCAGACTATGGACCAGCTACAAGTATTAAATTATTGCAAGAGGAAGGCAGGGCAACAACTGTATTATAATTATATTTTAATTGTATATTATTTGCTTCCCGCTGCAGTCGGACATAGTAAACGCAGCGTTAAACGTGCCGCACCAGTATTTCGACTCAGTACGCGATAAGTACCGCGCCCGGCCTCCGGTATCCGAGGGACAATACTTACTAAATACCACCTGCATCATTAGGACATTGCTAAGATTACATTAGCTACCTTTAGGCTAAACAAAAAACGTACTTTTCATAGCACAATAACTTTTTCATTTAACATAAAAAAATCTTTTTTCTTATAATTATGTCCAAATGTGATTTATGATTAAAACCGTAATCAAGTAATGAACAATATTTTGTGAAACATAGATATCATATCATTATCACTCAGCGGAAATAAATGCGCTTTGGTATAATAACAAATAATTACCTCTATATTGACTTAATATACAAATTCAATGCCACTTCATCAACATCTAAACCTATCGTAGTTACCTAATACAATTCTCTCATCATCATAGTCCCCTACTTCCCCGGATGCCGAGGCCAGGCCTCAGTCAGTGTATGCCATGGTGCTAGTCCTCCGTCGTCACTCTGTGGTCCTCGGTCCTCAGTGTACACGCACACTCCACGTGGCACTACCATCAGCTCAGTTGGTCGTTAGTACACTCTCTGTTGCCATTGTATTGTCAAATGTCTTCGTATTACTAAAATATGCTATTTTGTTTAGGCTAGTTTAGGTTATTGGTTGAAGGTTATTTTGTGTCTGTCGCATCGACAATACTTATACCAGATCTATTAAAGGTGATAAATGAGCTGCCTATAACCTATAACACAATTTGCGTTTAAAGGCAATTTATTGGTGCATAATTTTGATGTACTTATTAGAAATTATTTATTCGTTGTCATAATTCAATATCAAGACCATTTGTATTCGAAAACTAATAAAAACGTCGTAGAAATTTCTCGTGTCTTCATTACGTCTATATTAGCTCAACCACTTTGTGGAGTCAGCTTGATACACGGATAAGTCAGTCACTCCATGTATACCACGTATCATCTAGCGTCACTAGGCTAGACTCACTGCAATACAATATTTAGGACTATCAGTAGTAACGTAATGATAGGGATGATGACTTAGAATATTTTGTTTGTTTTATTAAATAGCTGCAGCACTCTATCATAATGTAATACACCGTTAATATAAACTTATTTATACAAAATATGATATTGTTACGCCACACCAAGTGTGACATTTTATACCAAATTGTGACCCCCTTGTATTTTTACTTACATTTTACATTACCTTGTCTTACATTTTGTTTATACTTTGGCGTGCCTAAGGATAATGTTTATATCCGTTTTCAGAGAACAATAGACGAGATCTTTGCACTAAAATCTATTCAACAGATTAGGCATAAAAGCGTAACATCAAACATATCACAATTTTTACTTTATTATTATTATCGCTCTACTGAAAACAACATTATATGTTGTAAAATTATAATTTGTTTTTATCAGTCATCATCTCTCATTAAATCAGTGTTACTACTGACAGTCTAAAACAAATAACCTTCTGCATTACCACCCATATAACCAGTGTTTGTGTCCTCAGAGCTTCGTGCACGAGGGAGGGCTGGTGCCGAAGAGTCTGTACGTGAGCGGCGCCTTCACGGAGCGGGAGGGAGACCCTCTCAGTGAGGACAGCATCTACCGATCTGTTAGCTTGGGCAAAGGACAGGTATGTTTTATATATAGGTTTTAGTTTATGATTTTATTGATGTTTGACTACTTGCATATATTATGTTCTGAATAATCTGTCTGCTGGTAGGATTATATCTAAATGTACCAAATTGCTATTCTATCTTTAGCTGCTCAGTAGTTTTGTAGAGATTAACTAACAAACCTTTGAACAGAAGAAAAGCTTCTGGTACAGCTAGATTATTTTGAAGTGTTTCAAATAGATGGAAAATTATTAACAAACTAAAAGAATCACGAGATGGTGAGCAGTCTAATAAGAGCATAACCGTCTGTTTGGGGATTGGGGATTGGAGAGATGGTGATTCATTTCACAAAACTATTAAATAACAATCCAAAATCTATCTCATATCTTCCTGTAGGTCCATGAAGTAATAGTACCAAACCGCGACCCTCAAAGCGTGCTGACGTGGGACTTCGACGTGTTGCGACATGACATCGCCTTCACCGTGTACCGCAGCGACCACGAGCTCTGCCACCCACCCGCTGATACTACGGGTATGGGGTAGAGTCTAGACTTTCTAGGTGTCGCGGAGAACCTAACGGGTAACCGGGGCTCCGGCTCGACGTGCAGGAGAAGGAACGGGGTGGTTTTTAGTCAGTAAAAGTCTGACACTTCCTCCCGCCTCACCCAGGCGGGAGCAGTGATTCGATGATTTTCGCCCCTTAAAAAATTAAGTTTAATTAAGTTGGTCGTTTTTTCTGAAATATCTGGGTAAATAGTTCGAAGTTTCTACTGATGTTTTATAATTGACACACGTAGGTGTTAGCTAGAATAATGGATGTTATGTGCAGGTAAATCTTAATTGACTAGAGATGCAGTGGATGGTAATGACTTCGGTCTAGGTTTATCTATACTTTTGGTTTCAATTCGAAAAGAAAATACCGTAGTATGAAAAATTCTAATGTCTTTTATTCAAAGTTTAATCATTTGAGACTGCATTGTATGACTTTAATACATTTTGATGTTTTATTTATAAATTACAATATTTTGTCACCACGAAAACACTCGATCACATGTTTTTAAGCACCTTACTTCACTTTTAACCTCCACTTTTAGACCCATCCAATTTATCATTTTATTTTTTGTTTATTTTTCTTTATTTCTGCTTGTTATGATTTCTTTTATGTTGCCCATAACACCAGCTATTGATTACAGCGCTGTGTGTAGGTGGGGGGGACGAGGCCAAGTCGGTCCTCGACCAGAAGGGGTGGCGCGAGGGGGAACACTTCCACAGGGTGGAGCCTACACTCGTCTGTCATGATGGGGAGAGCATACAGGTAGGGAGATACTCAACGATGGTACATTATAGGTTATTTGATAAGTAAAATAGCTTAGTTTCTTTATTTAAAATCGTATTATCCTAAAATGCCAACTTGCTGCCAATACCACTCTGATACTGATGAATTGCTAATGCTATGTACGCTATTATTGTCACATGCCCATAGATAATTATTTTGTTACTTTTGTGTGTTTTAAATCTGTTTTTGATGTGCCTGGCAGTATTCCTTCGAATAAATAAATAAATACTGTTATGTTGATATAACGGCGATCCTGCTGTATTTTTTATTACTTGTCTAGCAGGAAAGCGTCTGAAGACTGGGCACATTTTGAAGGCAAATTGCTATTGTTTTCGAAGGGGTATCGACCTCTAGATCGATTTGGATCGAAATTTAGTTATGAAAATAAGGTTGAAAATGACCAAAAGTCGTATGAAATTACGGTAAATGCCTTTTTACTTTAGGCCTTAAACTTGCTGTTACTTTAGTCAGTACGTAACGTTACCGGCCTGCAGGGCTCGCACGTGATGCTGGCGGTGGGCAGCTACGTGCTGCAGTGGCGCTGCGACGTGCTGGACTGCACGCACCGCGCCGCGCAGCTCATGTACTTCCACGAGACGCTCACCTCGCACCACTACAAGTTTGTACTCTATTTTTTATAATAACTATCGTGAGACATACTAAATTAACTGATAATCGCGGGTTACTTACGTGAATATACAGAGAAAAGCTCTACTAGTTTCGAACCACAGAGAGGTTCTTCGTTCGTACATTCCCGTGAGTAACCCGCGATTTTTAGTTAATTTGTGTACTCTATTGTTTGTGGTATAAAGTTCTATGTCTATAGGTAACTTGTAAGCATGTTTTTAGAGTGGTTTCTGAACTTTACTGTCTTTAACATGATATTGCATAAACTATCCCAGCTACATGCTACGGTAAACAGTGTCCGTAGTGTCGATGCCCGGTAGCCCATGATTTCAATACGTGCTTTTATTTTATTCAACTAATAATTAATTTGACGCTTCTCATTTGATAAATACATAAATATTTAAAGTGTGATCTTAGTCAATATTAGCCAGTAATTAGACGTTGGCTCACGTTATGTTTAGTGCAGTATTATAGATTCACCATCATACCCTCAAATCTTGGTTTACTTACCATCGTCAAGCTATTATTTTTTACTAGTAGCACATTCTAATACCCGGTATTGCCCCCAGGGGTTCGATGTCCAGCCTTCAATCTGGTACGAGTGGGTTCTCGTGCCTCAGTGGCAAGTCAGTGAGCAGCAGCTGTCCGTCCCGGTGATGTGAGCTTCAATTCCCGGGCGTGACACCCCCCGCCCCACCACTCACCTGAGCTAGCTGGCAGAAATGGAGAAACTGGCGAAAATGACTCATAAAGTGGCGAACTAAAAAACATTGCAGGTGAATTGATCGTTCCCAACTAGATAGTAGACTAGTTACATGTTACATTATATTAGTTCAAATAATAATTATTCGTATAATTATAGCTGTCGGATTTGATATAGTTATGTGAATTCTTAGTTCGTAAGATTGTGAAGGAATAAAAATACGATGTGAATTATTAAATATTTTATTGTAAGACAAATGCATAACTTGCAGGCTTTGTGTCCTGTTTATCATTGTTGATACTTCATGCGCAGGAGTTGATAGAATGGCTCTTGTGCTTTTAATCACGGTTTCGAATCCCACGTGGAGCGTGGTATTATGTTTTCTGGTCTGTTGACGTTTTTGTGTGGCACGCATAAATGACGTATGAAATAATTATAATAAGATCTCATACATAAATAACTTCACATAGGAGAATGGTTGAGACGGAGCGATTTTCAAAAATACGAATATAAAGTTGTGATATCGTTTTAATTTAGAAATAATAATTATTTGTGCGTACTATGTAGTGTTGGACAAGTATTTGTAGTAGAAATACAGTAATAATATAATACTTGAATTTTTAACTACAAATAAATCGCTCCGTCTGCGTGTAACAAATCTAGCTCTTATATAATATCCTTCACTATCGTAGCCATAAAAAATTACTCAAACTTTACCGCCAAACAGATTTCAATCTTATACTATTGTGAATAGAGTCTATTTTTCAATAAATAGCTAAATATATGAATAAAATGTATGTATTTAATCGGTCGTATGTAACGCATGTTTATGTACTAACAGAATATAAGTACTTGTAGAATTGAACGTACTAAGTTATATACTTAAAAATATAAATTATAACACGTTCAATCTAAAAACATCTTTATTGTACACGTTTGAAAGTTCAATTTCGAATAGCATGATATGAAAATAGCGATCGTTTAAAAGCGTCCTTATTAATACGTATTAAAGTTTAATTTGGAATGACATGTGTCATTGATTCACAAAATCTTCGGTATGTAGTCCAAGAGCTCTACATAAGCATGCGTCATCTACATTAGTTACAGAAATGTGCTAAAATTATAAATATTTATAGCCAAATTATATGCTCAGAGTTATAATATATAAGATAAAACTAAAAGATAAACGATTGGGTACAAAATTGTGTAAGGAAAGTAACACTTAGTCCAGGAGCCAGAGATGAAGTGTCAAATATTATCATAGGACTATAATAAATATATTTATTTTGATTCAATTCCATTATAGCTGGTATAAAATTAAACAAAATAGACAAAAATGTATTTTTATACAAATCTTGTTTAAAATGTTGTTGTTGAAATCTTTTAACGTGAGCTCCTGGTCTAAGCTAGCACTTGTGTCATTTAGCGATATAAAGATCACAAATTAATAACAAATATTAGAATAATTCATGAAGTCGGTAAAAAATAACAACAATACTTGTACCTCTACTCACATCTTCATGGTTTTACAGGTTTGATGTTATGTAATACCTCGGGCCTTCATGGGGTCGTGGGTTTGAGTCCCGAGTTCAGTTTGTATCGCTAAATGGGCCGTGCTGTATATTTACGTGATGCGTAAGGATTGTAACTCAATATTTGAGAATGTTCCGTATTGTATTTGTAGCAGAAAGCACATATTTTCCGTACATTGTTATTGTATGTATGTAAAGCTATATTAAAATATATTTAACATACATCTCACTTGTATGAAAAACCTATAAAAACTAGTACATCTGCCTACCCCATTACGAGAAAAGGCAAGTTGTATAAAGTATATAAAATCGAACATGGGACTTAGTGGTTATTAAAATAGCGTTATCCGCTTTTGAGTTATAGCGAGTGTTATAGACAAGCGAAATTCAACCTTTCGCGAATGTAGATAGGGTAAAGATTAGTAAAATACCCGTAAGTATGTTATTAGGGTAAAAAGCTAAAATGCGTTCTAGGGAATTGAGAAAGGACTTATCATTATGCTGACATTAAGTCAACTTTAGACAATTAATATGGTTTCTTAATTAAATGCTTAATTAAAACTAGTTTATTGATTTGATCATGTTCAGCATGATAGATATAACTAGGTTCGATATCTCGGACAGGTCAAGATATTGATAAATATCAGTAATACGATGAGTTATGCCTGATGTTGGGCGATATACTCGCCTCTTGACTCCAGAGAGATCGTTGATAATTGACTAAAACTAAATAAATACTGCTTGGTACATATAAAATGTATTTATGTAAACATGGTACCAAAAAATATGAGAAGATCCTTATATGGGGCACCACTTCAACAGCCTATAAATGCCCACTGCTCAGCAAAGCCTCTTCTCATATAGAGAAGTTTTGAGCATTAATCTCAACGCTTGCTCAATGCGGGTTGGCGATTTTAAACTTATAATTAGAAATTATAAACTACGTTTCCTCACGATGTTTTCCTTCACCATTTGTCAGTGGCATCTAAATTACCTTAGAAAATCCATGCTAGAATAATAATAATAAACGAAATTTTCTCATCACTTCCCACTTATTTGATAAAAACCAACTATAACTTAATAAAATGTCTACACAGTAATAAAATTTATATGAAAATACTTATCAAACGACCCTCACGACGCATAACGAACCTTACGCCATTGATACACGGTTCATATTGAATTAACAACAAGTAATTATCGTTGAAATCAATTATTTTTCAATTAATGTTAGGAGAATTGGTATCTGATTGCGGCTGCGGCCGGTAGATGGCGTAGTAAGTACTATGTAATTAAAATACAAGGTTTTAATGAAAATGCTATGTAAATGTTGGTTGGACATAATAATATATAATTTTTGGAAGTAAAAAGATAAATATGTGTTTTACATAAAAAATGATAATTTCTATGAAAAACATTTATTTATCTTGTTTTAGCCAAGTGCTGAAATAAATTTTGTTCAGTTTCATTCTTGTATTGGTACAGTAGTCAGTAGCTTAACATACTCGAATCTGTCAAATTTTGTTCATTGGATTTTCGACTTTATGTCAATATTATAAAGTTGAAGATGTAATAGAGACAGAAAGGGTAGGTGACCTGCTGGCCATCGTACGTAGAACGCGGTATGCTTACAAAATTAAATTCATTTTAGACAAATTACTTGTTAATTTACACACAATATTTAATGTATTGATTACAATACCTTGAGAAACACATTCAATGTTATTTTAACTATGTAATTAACATTGAAATGAAAACATACTAGATAATATTACATAAATATATGAAACCTCTTTCTTTTAAGTCGGTTAAAACTCATTGTTAATTGTAATAGTTAATTATTGTTTCCTTAATTATAACATGTATGTTAGAGATCTTTTATAGATATAGTGATAAAGGTTATCTACTGTAGATACAGCCAAGTTTAAACCTTATGACAATACCATAGAATTCAAATTTCAATGGCTTACTTACTACATAATACAACTTCTTCTATCTACTACTAATATAAATAACAAATAAATAATAGAAGAAAAGTTTATTTTTATAACTGACGCAAACAAATATGAGCTTTAATACAATGTAAATACGATGCATATCCGCTTCAGCTAGATATTTTGTGGAATTGAGAAAAATGCAGTTTATTTTGATACGAAATGTAAATAATACTATTAATGCACACTGGCTTCACTCGATACTAGTTTAATATACTAAGTTTCATAATTATACGCAATCAGTGCAAATCGCATCAAAACTGGTTAAGTAGTTTAGCGATATGCAACACACACACAACTTTTTTTATTGCTTTATTGAGATTTTTTACAGGGATGTTTGTATTTATTTTTATTATTGTGATTTTATGCACAACAATAGATGATCTGATTTTTCTTACTTTTAACTTTTATTACTCTTTTTTTTTGTAAGTAGTTTTTGTTTGTAATGTTTTCTCTGCTAAATGTGTTGGTACATTAGTGTTAATTAAATCAATGTTATTAATAACTTCAAACGGGGCTTGGAAGTCTCGACTTTAGTAACGACAGAAATCAGTTGCTAAATAAGATACTTCATGTAATAGATATTCGACTCTATTATAAAAGGATAAGTTTGAAAATACTTTAAAGGAATCCAACACTTAGCGATTCAATTTTGTCGCTATCAAAGTTGAGACTTACCAACCCAGTAGGGAATGAAATGAGTGAACTATAATTAATTATAAAAAATCATTAGTTGACTACTAACTATTAGTTGTGTGACATCGTATCGAAATGTTTTAGTGTAATATTACAGCATAACTACGATTATTTCTTAATTTCTAAATAATCGAATTCTGTAGTGTTGTGAGTGAACAATTTAGTTTTTTAGTTTGTAAGTTACAAAATGTTAAAGAGAAATAATAATTAAAATAAGCGAAGATCCTATCGAGGTGTTATTTATTTAAGAATATCAGTTTAAGAACAATAAAGTTTAATGTTAGTAGAATTTATTGAATTATTGAAATAAAAACCTTGCAAACATTATATTGTAATATTGTTTTATTTTACAGAACACATGATATTGTTGTCAATTGGATGACTAATGAATGAAACATGAATGAATTGAAATAAAATGCTTTGTGGATGAGTTTGATTACCGGGGGCTAGTTTCGAGCCACAGAACCAGTCTGCTGCGCGACATCGCTGCGAGCGCGCACGTTGCTCATGAGGAAGAACCCCTCTGTGTTTCGAAACTAGTAGAGCTTTTCTCTGTATATTCACGTGGGTAACCCTCGATTTTTAGTTAATTTAGTATGTCTCGCCATTATAATAACTATAAAAACGAAAGAAATACTTATAATAATTTCGCAATATCCTAGCATATGCAGCAACATAATAATATAGAAAGTAATAAAACCCGAAAGCTTGTTATCACGAGTTGCCCAACGGCTGCGATATAAAAATACATCTACCAGTAAATCTGTGCACGATAACAATACTTTATGGGCTGCTAATAAAATTGTACTTAATAACATAACCTTTAATATTTAATTTTGTTAGAGCACGCTTTTTATAGTTGTTCTTCTTATTTTGACCCTTTTTTAAGAGGGGGATCGAATGACTGCTCATTTATGATTTAATCATCGAATGACTGATCCCGCCTGGGTGAGGCGGGAGGTAGTGTCAGACTCTTACTGACTAAAAACCACCCCGTTCCTTCTCCTGCACGTCGAGCCGGAGCCACGGTTACCCGTTAGGTTCTCTTGGGTGAGGCGAGAGCGAGTGTGAGACCTTAATTGAGTAAGTAACACGTTATTTTTGACCCTGAGGTGGAAATCCTGTGCACCTTAACTTGGATACGACAAGGTGGACTGTCAGGCTTAGTACCAGTTGACGATTTCAAATTTACAATTAGAAATTATAAGCCCAGGTTTCTTCACTATGTTTTCCTTCACCGTTTGTCAGTGGTGTCTAAATAATCTTAGAAAGTACATATAGCTCGGAAAAAGTCACACTGGTACTTGCTGTTGGTAGGTGTCGAACTCGCATTCCTATGCATGAGAAGCGGATGGCTTAAACCTCCGGGCCAACACGACGCACACAATAGTTTACAGGTTAATTGATTAAGCAGGTACCTATTGACTGTTATAATCTAATAAGTAATAAGCATTAATTACACAAAGAATAAATTATAGTGTTGATAGTCAATTAAGTTACAAACGCTTCAGACTTACGGAAATTTTATAGTCAGTATATTACCGTGTCATAATTTTATTGTTTGTGAGCATTGAAACCATTAAAGTTAAGAAATAATTATTTATTAGTTAGGCAGCAAACGAATGTAACCTACATTCATTATTCTTAGTTATTGGACAAATAACAGAAACAGGTAATGTGATAAAGAGAAAACAAATATTTTTTCAAACTAGGTTCTGCTAGCGGCTTCACCTGCGGTACTGTGGGATAAAAAGTAGCCTATGTTTTAGTCCAAATCCTAATCTACCCCTGTCCGAAATCTCATCCCGATCTGTGCAGCCGTTTTGACGTGAAGGAGGAACAAACAAACATTAATAATATTAGTAGGATGTTGCAATAGCCTATACTACTATTGTTGGCACTTGTTATTGACGCAACATGGACATAATATATGGTAGTATCTATCCCATCCCTATAAATATAATACATACATAACATAACATCACACCTTTTATCCCCGAAGGGGTAGGCAGAGGTGTACATTACGGTACCTAATGCCACTGTACAATGTAACACCCACTTTTCACTATTTATGTTATGAGTCCCATGTAATAGGGGGTGACCCTATTGCTATATACCGGGTACAATAATACATATTAGCTCATCATTGTATCTACAAACAAGACAATTCGAAATAACCCATGATAACAATTAAAACTAAAAGAAAAATCAAGAACCAGTAAAAATTACAGCTCAAAGAAATACATACGATTAACAATAATTGTTAATTAATAGCAACAATTAAAATCCACTAAAACTAAATGAATTGTCCAGCCCTACCTGCGATACACAAGCACTAAGTAAAGAAAGATTATGACATGAAAATAACCGTGACCGTATAACGATTGTATATTGTTTCCAGAATTCCAATTAGCCAGGTATCATATATAAGTATACTAAGTATATGTACACGTAGCTACCAAGTATCACTGCAATTTATTACTAGCCATAGTTGAAAGTATGAAATGTTTTATAGCCCCGATAAGGCTACGGACAATTTTACGCCATGAAAAAAATTGTAGTTTTTTATATATTGAACTTTGTTGTGAGTTACGCAAACGGAAAATCGTTATGTATGCATATATATGTAGTTGCTGTTGCTTAGCGAGTTGCCTATATGTGGTGTAAGCAGATCTCTAAGATTATTATTGTTTAGTTGCATAATTCTAGTTGTAATTTTGTATACAATCCTACAGGGAGAAGGCGTATGCATAATAATACATAATTATTTTCTTATCGACTGATTTATCTAATATTGCGTGGTAACAGAGCGTCAAGCAGAGGAAGAAATTATCCCACCATGCGTTCATAAGGGCTCTATAAAGGTACCTAATACCTGACAAATACATAGGTACTATATGTAGGTACATCATGCATATAGCTTTCTTAAATATCCAAGTTTAGTAACCTAATTTTGTTGTAGAACTAAATATTTGTAAGAAATTGTTCATTCCCGGCCACTGAAGTCATATAAAAATAAATATCACATAGGAAACCCTGGTCCTTCGATATAGATTTTATCTAATATGATCCCAGGTCCTTTGCACAATGCGTCCGCTTCCTAACTGGCCACACACGAAGTGGCTGCCACAAAAGACCCGCCATCATTGTGCCCAACAGTGTCAGGCTATTAAGTCAGGCCTGTTCATATTACCGTAT